AACTCGCTCGTGTTGTCATCAGTGTGCGTCTCCGTCTAGTTAATGAAAAAGTGAGCACTCGAAGCATGACTCAGGTTTGAACCCATAATAGAGGCGTGAAACTCGCCTCCGGTCAAGCATGACTCAAGCATGGACCAACACAAGCCGAGCCTTATATGCAGTAAGGAGCTCATTTTTCGTCCGAATTCTGTTGATATCGATCTGTACTTGGAGATTTCAGTTTATAACTGGATCTCGATCGCCCAGGATCACTCGGAAGATGAGGCAATAAGGCTTTGCCGGTGATAGGATACCAGTAGTAGCAGTAGAAGCGATAGTAGTAGTAGCAGTAACAGAAGAAGTACCAGTAGTGGTACATGCGTCGATCGAGAAAAAGGTGGACTCCCATAGGAGTCCATTGTTTTAAAATAGGTCTCATCGCGATTTCGATCAACGACAGGATGAAAGGTGGACTCCTGTAGGAGTCATGGTTGCGATTGCTTACGAGCGAATCAACACACAACAATGTTGGCAAGGGGATTGCTTTCGAGCGAATCCAAGGGAATTAAGTTGCAATAAGGGGAAGGACTACCGAGAAGATAATGAGAGGAAACTCAGGACTCTGCATCAAGGATAGCTCATTCCATTGACAACCATAAGGGATAGACATATAAGAATAAGAATGAGTAACATCTCATAACCTCGCATGCTACCATGCGACAATACCATTGTGGATTGATTAATCTAACGATCTAAGAGATGTAAAGTTTGTATTTCCAAATAAGTGAGCAGTTATTGATTATTTTCTAGAATAAGCCTGCTAATGATAAAGCTGTAAAGCTGAATTGTAAGCTGTATCCCGTCGCACGAAGCACTGGTGCGTTGGTTGTGAGAGTGGTTCGAGGGGATCGTCATGGTCAGTGAATGGTGAATCGATGGGGGATGGAGAGGTTGGGGGAGAGTGGTTTGCTTTTTCGATGTTGAGGAATGGAGATTGTGACAATTTTGGTTGTGTCGATTTTTGGTTCTTTCGTGTTTGATCAAGGTGACCTTTTGCAGTTGCTACTGTGTTAGGAGTCCAACGCTTGAGTGTCGCGGTGGTCAAGCCGGGAAACCCGTGCACGTATCCTTTTTCAAGGGCGTTGAGGAGTGTTGTGGGATTTGGTGATCCGAGTGCAGCATGTGCAAAGCGGACAAGTTGATTCCGAGTGTCGGTGCTGGTGCTGTTGGCGGTGTGTTTTGTCGGTTGGATTGATTCGTGGGGGCGTGCAGGGAAATATTCGGAGAGGGTTTCCTGTGTGTTTGGTGCTGGGATTGGGCTTGTGTATTGAGTGGCGCATGCTTTTGGGGAAATTGGGGGCGATTCGGAAGCAGGTGCAGGTTGTTGGATTGGGCGTTGGGCAGTCGGAATGTGCCAAAGTCCATGTGTTTGCTCGTTCCGGACGCCTCTGAGTATGGTGGTGTCAGTGCTGTCGTTGATTCGGAGATCGGATTTGGTGAAAGTTGCCGTGCAGTTTTGGTCACAAAGTTGGCCGATGGATATTAAGTTGCAATCGAAGCTGTCAAACAATTTTATTTCCTTTGCTGCTGCGGGGAGGCTGTCGACCATGGTAAGGTCTGCCGTTGTTGTGTTGGTTTCGGTCTGTTGGTTGGGCATTCGCACGTCGATTGGAGCGGGGTCGGGCCGTATGTTAGCCAGTGTGGTGTCTTTTGTGCTGCCATAGTGCTGGTCTGTGCCGGTATCGGCTATGTTTGGGATGAGGGGATCAATAGTGTGTTTTGTACTGCTGTTACTGTTACTAATTTTACGTGTACGTGCTATTGACTCCTCTCTTTTTCAGGTGCTGTTGTCTCCGGTGAGGGAGCTCATGTCCGTTTCACCTGAGGTGGTGCCGGTGCCGGTTGTTGAGTCGTCATTGCTTTGGTTGGCGTTGTTGCTTTTTCCGGTGGGCGGACGCTTGTTATTGTTGGGCTGGAACTTGTAGATGCTGGTCTCGCCTGGTTGGCGGCGGATCTGGTTGCGGCCGCCTATCATGTTGTCCATGGTGGCCTTTTCATTGTGGTCTTTGTGGCGGTTGCGGCATGTCAAGCTGGTGTGCGTGAGGTCGCGTTGGGCTCCATGGGTCCAGCAGTAGGCCATGTAGGCGGCGCCGGATGCATTGTAGATGTGGAATGGGTTGTTGGTGCCTTTTTGGTGGTTGGCGTTGTTGGCTTGTGCTGGTCGTGGTACCCAGCCTGCTTCGTGGTAAGTTTGCGGCGGCGTTCTCTGTTGGCTGCCGTGAAATGGGTTTTGAAGTTTTCCCATGTTTGCTCATCGTCTGGCTTTTCATTCCAGGATTCCATGGCACGGGGGAAGACTCCACTCTTTTCGAGGTTGTCAAGGCCGGAGCGGAGCGCGGCACGGTCTGTGATGGGGTCATGGCCGCGCGCGAAGGCGATGGCTTTGTTGATTTGTCGAAGAGTTGTTCGAGTGGTTGGGTAGGTATCCACTTTGTGTTCATGCTTTGATGTTGTTGTTGAGGTCCTCATTGGTGAGTTGTCCATACTGTTCAGTAGGTGGACGATGAGGTCGATGTAGCGGAGTTGGGTGAAACCTTCGTCGGGGTCCTCCAGGGCGACATAGTATACTGGTTCTATGGCCGCCATGGCTGTTTTGATGAGGGCATGCTCGACGGCTTCGAATGTGTCGAACTCTTGTAGGGAGAACTGATGTTCATTGGTCAGTCGGGCAATGTTGGCTGCTGTTGCACCATCTGGAATGTTGGCTCTGGGGCCTGGGTGGATTGGGTCGATCCATTGGTTGGCTGCTGCCATGATGGGCCTGGCATTGTAGTCGGCTAGTGTGTAGCAGAGTCGGAGGTGGCCCTCTCTGCCGGGTGCTCTGGTGCTGCGAATGCGTCGGGCATTGTCTTTGTTTTCTTTTTCGAGTTGCTTGATGGTAGCACGTGTTGGTACTCCGGTGATTGCCGTGAGTGTTGGGTGTGGGAAGAGTGGTAGTGGGTCGAATGGCTTGATGCTCATGGTGACGGTGTTTGGTGGGTTCGATGTAGATCGGAGCTGTTGATCAGCCAGTTCGGTGGATGATCGGGTTGAAGATTGCTTTCTAACTATTGAAGTCAATAGCTCTAAGGGTTTAACTGGAGGTTAGAAACAATTATGAGCTATTGTCTTTGGTGGCTGTCCCCGAACGGCGGTTAGCGTCGGTAAATGCCGTTAGGGGATCTGCTGGATCTACATCTAAGTAATGGTCCCGCGAGCCGGGCAGCCATGCTGGTTGGCTTCGTGGGACGTGCTTCTGGTGGATATAAGGGTCAATGTCGCAGTGGGACTGGGACTTTAACAGGTTGACATCCTCCAGGTTCGGAGCAAGGTAGGAGTGTTGGGGATTCGCGATTAGGGATTCAACCTGTACCTCTGTACTAGAATTTGATGCCAGTAGTAAAAGCTGGTACCCCACCCACTTTTTCAATAGTATCTCAATAGCAAGTAAACTAGAGAGCTTAGAGCAACTAACATACTATTGAAAAAGCGGTCTACTATCGAATCAGCGAAGAGGAGCCTATCGAAGCAGTCAATCGGTAGCAGGAAGCAGCGAGTATCGGCCGACGCCGAACGCGACGCGAGAAGAAGATCGATAGTCGACCAAGCCTGTCGAAGGATCGACAGCAATGCGACGACGACTGAGGATCGTCGTGCACAAGACCAAGACTGTTGTTCGACGTTCGAACGACAGCAACAAGAGAAGAAGCCTGTCGAAGGATCGACAGCAACAGCGACGACGCAACGGATCCGAGGACGGATCGCGACGACGCAACGAGTGAAGATCCGAGGACGGATCGAACGGAGACTGCACATCTAAGAAGCGCATTTTTAGGTAGTGCTAGAATCGACATGCGTGCAGGTACCAAACGCCAACCAGCACGATCCCGATCCGTGACGTAATTTCTTCCAAGAATGCGTGCAGTGATTGGAATCGGG